TATCTTCAAAACAACTTCAAAAGTCATATTGTATGTTCCTTGGAGAAGGAAACTATAGCACACAATATGGATCCTAAGGCTGTGGACAAGATCACTGGAGAGGTGAGACCTCCCATCTGTGCTTTCAACCCTTGCCCTTCTTGGCTGATAAAAGCTGCCAGAGTTGATAAGGGAGTTGATAAGGGAGCGGTAAATGCTTCCTTGAGGGCAGGGGTTGTACCACCCATACTCAAGGAAGCGATGATTAGACCTGTTTTGGGGGAAAAAACAACCCCTCCTTAAGTCCTACTATGTTAAAGAAATTCCGGCCAGTCTCCAGTCTTCCATGCTTCCAGAAAAGGTGCTTGAGTAGGTAGTTGCTTCTCAGCTTCAGGAGCTCTTGGGAGAGACTGATTTTCTGGATCCATTTCAGTCTGGTTTCAGGCTGGGATTTTGAACAGAGACTGCTTTGGTCACAGTCCTCAATTGTGATTTTAAATTCTGGTTTTTATATTTTTAACGTATTTCATCTGTGTTGCAAGCCACCTTGTGCTCCATAAGGAAGAAAGACAGCTGATCAATGTTATAAATAAATAAAATAATAAGGAACTGTAGCCCTAACCTAGAAGTGGCACAGAAAATTTCTTCATGACAGACAGGAAAGAAACTATCACAGCTTGTGTTTGCATTTCCAGCAGTCCTGGATGGGATTTATGCAGTGCCGGATTTATGCATAAGCTAAATAAGCTACAGCTTAGGGCCTCGCAATCTGCTGGGGCCTCAAATAAAAATACAATATAAAAAATGATTTCAAATATTAAAAAGGCGTATATATTTTAAATTTTTCTGAGACCAGCTGATGTAATTTAAAACAGTAGGGGGCCTCTGGGTTTTGTATAGCTTAGGGCCTCAGCAAGTCTAAATCCGGCCCTGGATTTATGGCATAGATTCTGCTAGTCCCCACTTTGGCATTGCCAGCTGACCAGGAAAAAATGCCACCCTGGGCTGTTTTGTGCATCTAACAGCAGCATGTGAAGTTTTTCACAGCATGGAGACGAGCATTGTCATCTGCTAATTCCTGTATATCAAGGCACTCCTATCACAGGAGCAGGGAGGGGCTGCTAAAAGGAGTTGGTGATCCTATCATGGCTATCAGTTGATACAGTGCTTGGTGCCATCCATGAAGTTCTTAAATTCCTTCCTGTTGGAAGCAGTTTACTGAAGAGGGAAAGGGTTTGCTCAAAGGCACCGTTTTCTTTATTATTAGTTCACAGAGTTGAGGTGCACAAGTTCACTTCAAAAGACTCTAGAGCTAGCCGTAGTGAGCCCTGGCCCAAATTCATCCCTGCCAGTCCTTATCTCCCTTTAGGGTCTTTTTCTGAAATGCCTAGAACTCTGACAACAGGTGTTCCTTTTAGCAGTTGGTTGAGATGCAGGAATTAGTAGGTGATGATGCTCATCTTGTGGGCAATGGAAAAGCTTTCCCTGTTGGTTTTTGCAGGCCCAGATGCTGTGAAAAGCTTGAGAGCAGTTTGGCAACTCTGTATATATCTGCGAAGACGCCTCTTAATAGCGTCCTAAAAGGCTCCCTGAAGCACTGGACTCCTAGAACTATGTGAACTGGGTGGCTTCCTCTTGTAATAGAAGCTGGCTGCTTAGCAATCAGGGAATGAACACAGAGATCAGTGCAGGTCACCAGCCTTGTTCCATGTTCTTCTACACAGGCAGGTAGAAAAGTGAGATGGGGCCCTTTTGGTGGCTTCCTCAAATGCTTTTGCCATTGTGGGGGCCAGTCTGGCTCCCTGTCTGCTCATGTTTACATGCCAGGTAAAGCATGGCTATTTCAGCATACCTGTGATTTTAGTTACAGTGTAATCTGAAGCCTGTATAGTTGGAAGTTAAATTTCATTGAGTTCAGTGGGGCCTATTTCCTGGGAAGCCTCTTTAGGGTTACAACTTTAGTGGTCTGGGTTTGTGTTGTACTTGAGGAGTTCATGCATTATTTGTTCAACTGTTGATATTAATAATTTTTGTCTTTTAATTCTAGTGTTTGCTTACAGTTGTTAATAGCCTGTGTGGCCACAGAAGGGTGGCCTAGAAATGTTTAATTACTAAAACCTTCAGATTAAGTGTTCCCAGGAGCCAGAAAAGGCAAGAAATACCTACATGTAGCTTTCAGCAAAAGAATGCTTTTTATGCTGGTAACCTTGCATCATCTCCAAGATGTACTCAGTGGACTGCATCCACCTGTGGGGGGTATGAAAACATGCTGCTGCAGCAAGCAGTGCAGGAATACTGTCCAACCTGCCCCCCCATAAGCCGCTCGTTGCCACATTTTCTGAGTGGTGCAAAAATTTCCATTCAGTCACCATTCTTCTTGCTATTTGGTGAATTTATTGGGAATTATCTCAGAGAGCTCTGCACTGTGGTTGAGTGAGACTTTGAAGTAACTAGGTACCATAATTGGCCATAATCCAAGCTCTGGATCTTAGGAGGAGTCTGGCTGTCTGCTGTACTTGCAAGTCTCAAGAGTAGAAACTGAAATGACACCAGGAAAAGGGAGAAGGTGGTATCTGTTGGTAAGCTTAAGCCTTATTGGCTGGCTGTCATCTCCCCATCATCTGCCATTAGTTGAGTTGCCCAGGCTCATCCCGGGTACCTGGCCAGGCAATAATTCCACCTATTTGCTGCCTGCTTGGCTCCTCAATGTAGATTATTTTCTTCTTTTTCTGTGACCGTGGCACAGTTGTAGTTTGGATTATGTTATGATATGTGTGGTCCAAATACAATATCTGGACTGTTCTGCTTATAGGAGAGGACATGTAAGCACAATAATAGAAGCCTAGGTGCTGGGTGTAGGCAGAATTTTCTAGGCTCTTTCCATAAGTGGTTCTGCGCAACCAGAGAAACCTATTTCCTGCTTTATAATTCTACATTGACCTCCCCTGACTTAACTCCTCCTCGCATCATTTCTGCCTTTCACTCAGTTATTTTCCCTCCAGCCCTGCATGGATTGATGCCATTGCATATGTAACCAGCTGCATAAAGATAAAGGATTGCTCTATGGCAACATGCATATGTGCTGTATGCATTTTTTTTTAAAGGGAGGGCCAGTATAACAACAGCCCTGCTGGGTCAGGCCAGTGGTCCATCCAGTCCAGCATTCTGTTTCACACGGTGGCCAATATAAGTTATGGAATAAAGAAGCATTTTTCTCCCATGGCACTTAAAACCTCTTTTGAATCTCTCATACACGAGTAATGCAGCTGGAATACCTTTTACTGTTGGACAAGAAGCGAGAGAGACATCTATTTGCCTGCAGCTCTACAACCAGTCCCAGCCATGTCAGTTACAGAGGGAAACTTGCAAAGAGCCCTCAAGTTCACCTCTACAGCAAAGCCTCTTTCCACTGGTTGCACGGAGGAGGGCAGGCACACTCTCGCTGTCTTCACTTCCTGCTCTTGGCTGCCCACACACAATTTTCAACACTTAAGAGGCAACTTATTAAATCACTGCTGTTTTTCTCTGTCTCATGTCGCTCAAGAATTTGTACATCCAGCTTTTGATAATTTTTTCCCTATGGGAGCAAGAATAAGTGTCATAATTCCCCAACGAAATAAGGGGAAAAACAGAGAGAGAGAGAGAGAAAGAAAACTACTTTACCCTACTTTACTCAGCACAAATTAATGTATTGTGCAATACAGACATTAAAGTGTCTTTCTGTCACAGCACATCAGAGCAGCTGCAGGATCACAGCAGCAGATAAAACTGCTGCCGTTCAACTGGCAAAACCGTAAGAGGACATTACAGAAATAAATAGCCTCAAGGGATGTTGGGAGATGCTGATGGATAGGAAGTAGGAACAAACCAAAACAAATAATGATTGACAGGAAAAAAGAGGAGAGAATGGAATGACACAGATTGTTGAGGAATGGAAATCAGAGGGAAAACATAAATACATAACTATGTCAAAAAGGTCCATGTGGAATACAAACACACAATTTGCTAACCACAGTGCAGTGGAACATATATTATGCCTCTGATTACTGCCACTGTGTGTGTGTGCTTTAACCACGCAGCCTCCATGGGAAACTGTGTGATGTTGGCAGCATGCTAAAATGAAGACAGGATGGAATTGGGGTGGAGGCAGATTTGGAGAGCTCTGGAGGATGTTTTTGCCTTTCTCTTATTACTTTGTTACTGCAGGTGGGGTTGCTGGTTTTCACCTTGCATAGCTTTTAAAAGCTGATTGCATAATAAAAGCCTGAGATTGCTTTTGCTGCTACCATGTATGGTGACGAAGCTGAGACCAACCAAAGTAATCACTAGTCAGAGCTGATTAGCAGCAAATGCCTTAGAAATCTGAAGGGTTCTGAATCAGCCAGTAGGCAGTCCTAAATGCACAGTATAAAGTCAACGCTACTGTGAGTATAAGTGGGCCTTTGGATCCAATCTAATTAATGTTTCCTGTCTATAAAATGGAAGCAATATAGTGACCAGCCTCACAGGAGTGTGGGGTGGACAAATACAGTAATAGATATGATTCACCTGAGCACAAGCCCCCTTGATTTCAATGGGAGAGTTAAGGTTATGCTTCAGAGTCCCCCACTGAACCTTGGCTGAATTGTACCCTGCTTTCTAAAGCACTTTTCAGGTCAAAAGTTCTATAAAACTGAAGGAGTAGTAAAATGTTGGGTGATTTTGGCTGACAGTGCTCACCTTGGTGGTGAAGATGGAACTTTTAACTGTAGATCTGCTTTTCCTTTCTGGCAGCAGGGTGCAGTAGCAGTGATTTGGTAGGAAGGTTGCTGTTTTCCTTACACACCTTGTTTCCCCATCCTTTTCCTTTTCTCTTTTCTATTATGCTTAAATTCACCTGACAACCTTCCCAGTGTCTTTTGTTTCCTATCTTCCTTAAAAACACCATTCTCGAACTTTCTTAGCAGATTAATCTAGCCCAGGTAATTTTGTACAGAAGCCTGTTTCTACCTGAATGAATATCCTGGCCCATGTCTTTTCAGGTGCAGGAAAAAAGAGTGGTGGAGAGGAGGAAGTCAGAGGGCGACAAGCATCCCGAAAACATTCCTGGCAGAAAGGTGAGGGCAGTCTTTAATATCCGTTGGCTTCAGGGAAAATGGTGGCAGGTAAACTGTTCTCGAGACTCATGGATGCTTGCAACTTTGAAAACAATACCTTGTTTTATTGGAGCAGATCATTTGTAAAAGCTGGTAGGCCTCATTTTGTTCAGTGTAGGGATGCCACTTTCCAGGTGGGACCTGGGGATCCCCCAGAATTACAGCTCATCTCCAGACTATAGAGATCAGTTTCCCTGGAGAAAATGGATGCTTTGGAGGGTGGATTGTATGGCATTGTACTCCTCTGGGGTCCCTGTCCTCCCCCGACTGCATCCCCAAATCTCCAGGGTTTCCCTAACCTGGATTGGGCAGCCCAACCCCATCATCCTCCCTCCAGTGACCTGGTAACTCTAGTCTGGTGGTGGTCTAACAAACATGGCAGTCGCCTCCTTTTATGTACATCAGGACATCAACACGAGATGTTATCGTATGAAGAATGAAAGTGCCTCATAGGCCAGACATCCTCAGCTATATTCTGAAAAGTTTAGTAGGATACTTACATATGCCACACCAGTCCTCATGGCATCATAATGTACCTTAAGGGCAGAGTCCTACGATCTCGCTGCATGTACAACCAGGCCTAGCAACTGCTCTGTATTTCTAAAATCATAATGGCCATTCCATAGCCCACTGATTTCCAGATCTGGTCAAGGAATACTGTTGATTGTAGATGTGCAAATTTAACTCCAAACTCTGTTCTGTGGGGTCTATGAAAAGAATTCATACATCACAATGCAGCCCTTTCTTACACAACCAGGGAAATACTGATCGGCACTTTGCGGTCAGGAAGCAATTTTCTCCAGGCCAGTTTGGCCAGGGATCCTGGAAAGTTTTTTTGCCTTCTTCTGGTCAGGGAGCAGGGGTCACTGGGGGCGTAGGGGGGAGGTAATTGTGAATTTGCTGCATTGTGCAGGGGATTGGACTAGATGACCTTGGAGGTCCCTTCCAACTCTATGATTCTATGATTTGACAGTGTGACATTTTCGCTAGGATCAAATGAATCCAGTTGAGAGCAAGGCCAATCATATCAATCACATGGACAATCTGAAGTAATAGAAATGATGTAGTGAATGTGTTGATGTTATGGTCACCAGCCTCCTGCTATGGAGGGGGGCCTCCTGCAGACAACCCACTTTGCCCACCGCCACTCCAAGCAGCAGCAGGAGAATTTTTTTAAAAAAAACCCTGTTGGTGGCTTGTCCTTTGTTTTGTCACTTCTAAGGAAAACCCAGAAGTGATGATAGGTGACTCTAGGAATCACCAGAAACTCTCTGGTTTTTCTAGAGAGTTTCACCTAGATCCACCCACCATCACTTCTGGGTTTTCCCCAGAAGTGACATCATGGTGTACACAATGCCGTGTACCCTCCATGCCCCCACATCCAAGCTCCTGTCAGTTGCCACCCTAGTTGATATCACGTTCAGTCAAAACCAGCTAAATGCTGACCTCACTGTAGGTGAATGAAGCCAGTTCAATGGGAGGGCAGTGTTTCCTCTGTAGCCAACCCCTTTCAAAGCAGTCCCTGGAGGAGGGACTCTTGTCAACACTGCCAAAAATGTTTGCAAAAGAATCATGTAGGCAAACAGAACTCCATGCCCATAGATATCTGTCTAGCTAGGATAATTATTTGTCTTCACTAGCTAGCAAAGCCCTAGCCACAAGAGGCACTCCCGAGCAAACCCTGAAGGGGAGGGGAAGCCTTGTGCTCCGATTTGCTCCAGAATCTCCAGAACTGGCCCTATTGGACCTGTGTTGGCCTCAGCCAATGCCAAAGACAAGTGGATGGGGAAAAAGAAATGACCATAGGTCCAGGCGCTGCAAAGAACAGCTGTTTGTGGCAAAGCTCTTCATCATAACCAGATTAAGCAGTTTTGCTTGCTTCCGTTTACCCCACACTGAGGTGGCTTTTGGGAGTGACTCGCATGAACTTTTCACTGTGAACAGGGAGCTGCAAGAACTTGAAAGGGGAAAAAAGGCAGGAGTCCTCAAGTGAATCAGCCCTGAGTGACTCGCATGAACTTTTCACTGTGATTCACAGGGAGCTGCAAGAACTTGAAAGGGGGAAAAAGGCAGGAGTCCTCAAGTGACTCAGCCCTCAGTCTGGTTGCAGGGCTGATCTTTGTTTCAGAGTGGTTCAGCACATCAGCCACCAGAGGGTGCCATAAGCACAGCATGACTCTCAGCCTCCTTCCCTGTCGCACTGCCAAGGAACAGGAGGAAGTTGCCTGCCAAGGCCAGTTCTTTGACTTGACAGTGCTGCTGCCCAGATGCCAGAGGGCTCGCCACCTGCTTCTTTTGGAGTACAAAAGCCACCACACTTCCCTTGGCATGTCATAGATTTGGGAACCAGCAGTCACTGAGTGGCATTAAAACAAAAATCCGTGTGCTAGGCCTGGTTGTACAAAAATCCTGTTCTGTGCGGGCTCTTGTGGCCCTCATTGCACCCAGATTGGAATTATTTAATGGCTCCGTCAAGCCATGTGACTCAGATCTGTTGCAACCAAGTGATTCACTCTCACAGCTTTTGTGAACTTTTGCAGGGGAGGCTGTTGAACTAGAGGCTGCTAAGTGCTGGTGTCCATGAAGAAAAACAAAATATGCCATGCTCAGAATGCAAGGTAGTGATTTTGCAGTGGCCCTGGGTGGCAAGCTGCTCAGCAGAGACCCCAGAGGAAGGCCGGGCTCCCCTGAGAAGGCGAGAACTCTTAATTAACGGAGCACCAATTGAATAAGCTTCCCCTCCTGGGTGATGGGATTCATTAGGAGAACACAGCTGAGCTCCTTAGCATCAGTCCCAGCTGCTGCCTCACTGAGCAGCAGGAGGCTGCCTGATCTTGCTCCCTTGTGGCCCAGAAAGCACAGCTGTGGCCAAGCAGAGCACAGCCGAGCCGGAGGTTGGAATGGTAAATGTTTCCCTGCACTGGTCCTCTTCACTTAAATTGGTCGAAAGCACGGGCCACTAGTAAGGAGCACCCCAGGTCTCACATCCCATACCAGCCAGGAGGTTTTATTTGCTGATTTACTTCATTTATAGTCCATCTTTCTCATTGAGCCCTGAGGTAGAATATGAACAGTTAGAAACAATGCCATGGAAACGGGGGAGTGTATACAACAAACAGTGCAAAAAGTGGGTTTGCAGAGTTAGAGAATATGCTTGTAATATGCAACAAATAACATACTATGTCAAATGAACAGTGCAATGAAGGCTGCACTGTCCTCATTTCACAGGTAATAACTACAGCCCTGTTCTCTTTAGAAAAATGCCCTCCTGAACATGTGATATAGGTGGCTTGTCCATAAATCAATCCATATTTTAAACTGAAGTTTTTTAATAGACCATGTTCTATAAACAGCTTATTGCCAATGAGTCACATACCCCCATTCTAGACCCAAGGGACTGGAAAAATCCCGGAAACTATGTGTACAGTCAATCAGACAGCAGAGCACATTTTCCTTGGGGAACTTTATGTTTTTTGTGCCAAGCTACTAACATCAATATCCCTGCCTTCTCTGATCCACACCAATCATGTGGGTTGTGGGCGGCTGAAGCATCTCTTGCTCACTCTTTGGTTGGCTGTCCAGAAGGAGCTAAGTATATTCTCTGGCAAGTGGCCTAAGTCCCTCTGTATATCTTTGATTCAAGTATCATGCTGTCTGGCAACATTGTAAAAGCACCAAGGCTGGAATCCAATCACTCTGGCACAGCTGCATAGGCAAGGGGAAGATGTGCCACCAGTGTCACACATCCTTATGGCGGGGTCTGCTAATACAGGAGGGCAAACACAATCGTGTTGTGGACCAGTGTCAATGGATGAAAAGAAATCTGGGTACAAATCCCTGCCCACCCATCTTAACCTAGCTTCCCTGAGCTCCTTGCCGGAAGGGTAGGTTGCAGCAGAATACATTTTATTATAAATATTTTTCTTTCATTTTAAAAATACCGGTTTTATTAGTTACCATTAAACAGCATGAAATCTAATAATTGACACACATCAGAGTTAGAAACAGTATACATTACACAGTTTCCCTACTCTCACAAACAAAACAAGATAATTCAACATGTCTAAAAGGGACATGTCCTGAAATATTTTGAATGTCTTCTCTGTTCTAAAAGGAGGCAAACGTATTTCAGTAATGTACAAAAATGTTCCTTCTCAGACTCACTTATTTGAATCCTACCAAATGATTATCATTCACATTTTAAAAAATATATAATCCACCATCTACAATAGATCCCATGTTTCAATCGGTAGAGCTCTCGTTTTCCACTTGGAAACAATTATTGATGTAATTAACATGGTGTGTGTGTAAAGTGATGTCGAGCAGGGCTTTTTTTTTTTTGGAACAGGAACTCCTTTGCATGTTAGGCCACACCCCCTAATTGTAGCCAATCCTAATGAGTTTCTGCTGTTGGGTGTGGCCTATTATGTTAATGAGTTCCTGCTGGGCGTGGCCAACTTGGGAGCCAGCTGGAACTCCGCTCCTGTGCGTTCCTGCCCCAAAATAGCCCTGATGTCGAGTCACAGCCAACTTACGGCGACCCTAGCAAGGGACTTCCAAGGCAAGTGATTAAGCAGAGGCAGTTTGCCGTTGCCTTCCTCTGCAGAGTCTTCCTTGGTGGTCTCCCATCCACGTACTGACCCTGCTTAGCTTCTGAGATCTGACGAGATCAGGCTATACCATGCTGCCTTCCCTTCAATTATTAACACACTATGCAGCAAGTATTTTCCTCGATGTAACCCCACGGGATCAACATTTGTCTTGTATTAAAAACATCTTTCTCAGAGTCAACTGAACTGATTAATTAATGCTACCTGTAAGGAACTTTAAAGTGATTTCCCTCCCTCCAAACTGGCTGATATACAATATGTGATATCTTGGATAAACATCTACTCCCAAATATGCCCAGTAAAATACTTGACATATTTTTTTTCTTAGTCTATTGTAAGGGCCAAACTTCT